TTATTTTAATAAAATTATTACAATGGTAAGAAATCTTTCGTATACATTTCTTACCATTACCACAATTTGACCTCGTGTCAGTACGACGATTATGGCAATTGTAATTGGTGCAAATTAAATTTAAATTAATTATATAAAGTATATTAGTCGAAAGTGTATATGTTAGTAGAAAGTATTAAGATGGTGAGTAGTAATTTGTAGAATAAAGTAGCATCTTAGTAATTTCATCTGAATATCAAGAGCAAAGTATAGTGGTAAGTGGCACTGTCATATGCCAAGGATTATGCATTCGAGTAACGAGTCTTTCTATAATTCATTTATTTTTTGCGATGTTAGGCCGATTTTAGTAACTAAGTTGACCCTGGAAGCCTAAATAGCGAAAGCGCGATAGATTACAACATGGGAGAGCAGTATGAGGAAAGAAGGTAAGAGTGAGATAAGACATTTCCGTCCATTAAGTCGTATACGTCTTAACTCAACACCGCGACAGAACCTCAATCGCCATGCCAAGTACATAAACTTTTTGCAACACAATAAATAAAAGCGATTTGAAAATGGGACGGAAATAGAAGGGTCGGGGAAATCTTGGAGACCTTTGAGGCAGCAAAAACCTCGTTGGGTAAGGAAAGTAAGTCTAAGAGTAATTTGAAAGGTAATTTGAAGGTCTTGCCAGTGAGTGGTTGCAATTGGTGCTTGGTACTGTTTGGGCTACTTTCGAATGCCCATACCTTTCACAGAAATTGAATACGAAGAGGGTTTTCCAGTGAAAATTGTGGAAGTTTTCAATTATTTATAATTTTTTCTTTTTATTTTTGACAGATTTCGTATTGAAAATTTAAAGATTGAAAATTATTCAGGAACATTGAGTGGTTGGAGTCGTGATCAGCATGGTGCTCTAGCGCATTCCGGTGCTTTTCTGGATCTCTCCTCGTTCGAATCGGCTGCTGATTTGGAAGCTCTGGGACTGGATCGTTTAAAATCCGCCCTTATTGCACTCGGCCTGAAATGTGGAGGGTTCGTTTTGACTTGTTTTGGAAAAAAATAATGAGTTCGGTTCACCATCATGTAGATGCTGTTGACATGCGCTACCACTCGGGCTACATACGCCTCTCAAATATGGGCGGGTCCAGAGCGATCTGCTGAGGAGGGGGAAGGGGACTGAGGGGAGCAGAGTGAGGGAGGGGTGGAGTGAGGGTAGAGAGAGGGGGGGAGAATGGGGAAGAAGCACCCCTACAGGGGTCGAAGAGGGTTTTCTACAATAAAAAAATGGTACTTGAACCCTTGGGGAGCGCGACCCCCCCCCCCACTATCCTGGACCCGCCAGTACTTTAAAAGAATGTAA